AACTCGGTAGCAGAGTTTGTGGGGTGATGTTGCTCTGTAATAAAAAAGGGTAAAGATGAGGACAGTTAATAAAGCTTGTCACTGGAATCCTGAGGAGCTGTCTAATGCCAACCAGAAAGAGATCCATAGAGTTTCTATAGTATATGACAAGGAGAATATTGCCTCATCAAACAGCATAGAAAATGTGCTGTTGCAACAATATTACATATTATATACATTTTTTTTTAATCTTCAGCTTGAAATATTTAATGTTGCTAAATTAAAACTACAACCATCACTGGCATTTCATTCAATAGACATACATAGAGTAGTAAATATATATCTGAAGTGCAATTAAAATAATTTTAACTGGTTTTTATTAATAAAGAAGTTAATAGGTGTATGTGAGAGATTCAGCTGATAGAAAACCTATTAGTTGTTCCCTACACAAATCTAAATTTTGTGGAAGAGAAGAAGAAGAATATTGGCAGTTTGCCACAAGCCATTTAGGGAACACACCCAACATGTGGGAGAAAACTCCCTTTTTGCTTAACTTGCAAAGCATCATGGTCCTGATATCTTTAACGATTCCATATAAGAGGCTCTTAATTGCATGTGCAATTGGGACACAGAGTGAAATTCTGTGGGAACATGCAGCCATCAGGAGGAAGCCCCCAATACTAACTACTAGGCCAGATACAGTCAATTTCAGTCGCTATCAATTTCAGCAAAGATAGACTTTTATCTCAGAACAGGAAACCATTGTGTGTTTGTATTGAAATGAAAAATGTGTACATTTTTTGTCCATTTTAATTTTTTTTAAAGAAAATGTTCAGGTCATAAATAGAATTATTTTTATTTTATATAATTATAATTTTATTTATGTCTGTAATATGGAAGATTTCCTGTTTTGTGATTCCTTAAATTAACAAGAAACCCTAGACAGTGAGAGGGGTCAGACTTTAAAAGAAAAGGCATTCTCCTTTTGATTTATATTATGCATTCATGAATGTGGTGCCCTTTGCATAAGAGAATGATAAAATGGTTCAAATGAAACACTTGTAATCTCTCCAGGCATCTGAAAAGCAGCTCCTTGTAGACCAACAACCAAACTATATATTTTATTTCTAAAGAGAACACTGCCCCTTTGTGCATCAACCCTGCTGTTACAAGTGTAGGGAATAAAACTTTAATAAAATACAGCACAACCTAAGAATCCTAAGCAATAGAATACTGTAAAACTATAATCTGCCTTAAAAGAAAAAAACAATGATGAGGTGCACATGTTGGGTTTCTTTTCCCATCTTTGTTAACCCTTTAAAAGCGTGCATATGTAAACTAAAGTTCTGCATGCCATGAGCGAATTTGTGCCCAAAATTGGCCAATAAAGCAGATTCCAATGATAAAATATTTATCATTGAATATAGCCATATATGGCTAATTAATTGCATCCTTTATTTCAGTCAGTCTTAAGAATTCTTACCAAAAATAATATGTACTTCTTTTCAGTTTCAAAATGTATGAAAAATCATCATGGATGGGTAATCTCTGTTTGTTGGGGAGCATTTACTGAATACATAAAAGAGAAGGAAGATCTTGACAAATCATATAATTTTTCACATAATTACAGTTTCAAAACTTTAGTTTGAATGATTATTTTGGATTTAGTCAATTGTCATATTTGTAAATAATCACAACTATAAGTTTGAAAGATTAAGTAGATAAAGAAGCAAAAATATAACATAAGGACACAAATATGTAAATGTTAATATCAAAATTGCAAACTAATGTTTTGAATATGTATCATTGCAACTAAGAAATGCTGCTACTAAACTGTTATTTCTAATTCCTGACTTTAAAAAAAAAAAAAAAAAAAGCAAGCAAAGATTCAGTTCCCATAATAAGACAGAAGGGGGCAGTAGAGCTCTGGAAGATATATGTCCACTTTCATGGGATGATCACATTTTGTGTTTCCACTCCTCGTGTCTTAATGAAGAAGGTTTCTGGTCTTAGTGGTGAGAATTACTTAATATTTTATATTTGTAAAAAGTGGTTTACAAAGTTTGCAAAAAATATCCGTTACGTATTAAGATAATCGAATGGATGTTTTTTTTTTTTTCCTCCTTACTTTCAGAACTTTTATTTCGCTATTTTTAGGAAGTAAATCACATCATCTAGATTTTATGTATTGCTTTTATTTTATTTTACATTGTATGACGTTTCATTGCTCGCACCTGCTCTCAATTACCAATGATATCTGCCACTATTTTAACTTCTCTCGGATTTTAAACCTGCGTTTGCCATTCCTGACAAGTTCAATCCGTTTTGTTTTTTTTTACTGTTTTTATGTTTTGAAGAGCCAGTTTAACTTGTTCATCCTTGACAGTTAAATAATTACCGTAACTCACCTTTGTTGCCTCCTTGCTCAGCATTTCCAACGCTGCAAGTGGAAGGGAAGCTTGTACTGCAGCTCCCCCGTGTGGAGGCTAAAGGCTATAGCACCTCAATCCAACATGACAGCAGCAACATTTAGTTCCCCAGGGCAGATCTTATCTTTACAGAGATGCTGCAAGGTGTGGCACTATGTGTAGAGGAATTAGTATTTTTAAAAGAGCTTAAATTTAATCTTGACCTCATGTTTGTGCACATTATTGAAGGATATTTCCGAATTGTTCTACAGAGCTCTTATTCAAATTTTAGGGGGAAAAAATTACATTTTAACTAGGACTGAAACAATAAATCATCAACTAATTTAGTTACTGATTAATCTTTAACTGGAATATAGAGACTTCAAAAAAATTGCTTTAGCTGACAGCGACCTACTTAGGTCAGAAACTGTACCAACATTGTAAAAAATATAATTTTTTTGCAATATAAAAAATACTTTTTCATCTCTCAGTATGCTCTATCCAGGAAAAATTAGTTTCACTTGGTTTAATTCTGTAAAAAATCTTCTTAAAGGAACCTTTTGATGTCCAATTATTAATCGATTAATCTGAATATAATCAAAAATAATTATCGATAGAACAATCGCTTAGCAAAATTATTGTTAGTTGCACCCCTACTTTCAACAAATAACATTTCATAAAAATCTAATTGAGGCGTAAGATTTAAAAAAGTTTTTTGTTGTAGTTCTTTTGCTTTTCTTTATATAAAATTTATTTATATAGCGCTAATTCACAACACATGTCATCTCAAGGCACTTTACAGTTCACCAGATCATACAGTCAAATTGATTCAGTTTTCTATTTAAGAAAAACCAGTTGATTGCATCAACCCATTGACTCAAATGCAATCCCTCACACTAAGCATGCTTTTAGCGACAGTGGAGAGGAAAAACTCCCTTTTAACAAGAAACCTCCACCAGAACCAGGCTCAGTGTGAGCGGCCATCTGCTGAGGCTGACTGGGGTTCAAGGAGACAGAAGCAGAGATTCAAAAAGCAGCTGTAAAAGGCGGCCCCGTCCAGGAAACACACAGCCTGGCAGACGAGCTCCGAGCCAGCTCCCATGTCAGAGGATGAAGAGAGCATATCCAACCAGTCACAGTCAGAGAAACAGGACTACACTGAAAAACAGGTAGATATCGAACATCTATAAACAAAGGTGTTGATGGCAGCAGCACAGCTAATATTTCTCTCCAGGTTGGGGTCACAGCCAAACAGGAACAGATGAGGTGAAGCTACTATGAGCGTAAGGTTAGAGATTGAACTAACAGATTCTCCAGTGGAAGAATGGAGATAGAGTGAAACAAAATGATGAAATAGGAGTTCCTATGTCCTCCAGCAGTGTAAGCCTATAGCAGCATAACTACAGAGATAGCCCAGGATAACCTGCGCCACTAACTATAAACTTTCTCAAAAAAGAAAGTTTTAGGCCTACCCTTAAAAGTAGACAGAATGTCTGCCTCATGGACTAAAACTGGTAGTTGGTAGAGAGGAGCCTGATAACTGACAGATCTGCCTCCTATTCTACTTTTAGAAATTCTAGGAACCACTAAACCTGCAGATTTAGAGGAAATTGCCCTGTTATATTCCTTATGTGAGATACATTTAAGTTATAATGATTGTGGCTAATGAAATCAAACATAAATGTAACAGGGCTAATCTGTAGGATTATTGTGAAGTAAATTCAGGATTGAGATTGATGTGAGAAAATTCATACACACTAAAAAAAAAATGCAACCGTTTTTGGCATATTTAGTTACTTTTACACAATTGTTTCATGTTAGCAAGGTAGCACATAAAACTATTGTGTTAAAGTAACTAAAAATGATAAAGTAAATAGCAAAAGCGGTTACATTATTTTTTTCAGTGCATTTGGGGAAGATGTACAAGGCAGGAACTGCAGCTGGAAGCAGAGTTTAATAAGCCTCCTGAATAAATGTTTCTGGAACACCTGCTGGTGCTTTTTGCAGCTTATTTGAAAACCAAGATCCCAGAGTCTGAAGGAAAAGGAGGGAAGGAAAAACAGAATCCAGGTTTCAGTGTGAGGTTTCCACTGGATTATTTGGGGATCTGAATTATCTGCTGTTTTTATATCAAATATGATTTAGTCCAAAGTCAGTGCAGGTCGAAATTAAAGAGTACTAATGATAATTTGTACCAAAACGTTACTGTCCTTAAATATAATTTATTTTATTCCCTGTTCTTAATGTGCTGAGCTCTGATTATCCAGACTTTACTAAAATCTCAAATTAACTCAGACATTATCTATAAAAATGGGGTCGATGATTTGCACAAAGCTTGGTGATGGTCTGATGCGGGGCGTTTTGGATTTAGTCCTATCATAAAAGCTCCAGTGAATCACATGATTCCCATTGTGCGCACATGACTGGTCTGGTTATCAGGGTTCATTTCAGCAGGAGTCTCTTCTATAGCTGTCTGTAATCCAGGGGCCGCGCCTTTAAAAGTGGTGAGTTTGATTTTTCGTTAAAGGACAGCATTTTACGCTCCATCTAATGACTTGTTCATTTGATTGCATGTGACTTTTAATAATGTTCTTGCGCGTTATTTCCCATTAGAATAAAGGTTAACGCTCCCTGTGCGCGTGCCGTTTTCCTGCCGGTTTTACGGTAGCGCGCCGAGGCAACGCGGAAGGAGGCTGCGCTGCTCTGCTGCTTAATGCTGCGTGGATATTATCGCTCCCTGCTATGTCTTATCGCAACGTTTCCAGAGAGGCTCTGGTTGGATCTCTCGCACTCGGGGTTGTTTTTGTGGCAGGATATGTCTTCGGTAAGCTCAAAGGAGATCAACTCTTTCAAACGATCGCTTTATAAAGTCTTGAGATTTTCAAGGATTCAAAGGTAACCTTCCAGGAACAGGTGTGGGAGGGGGGTTACTTTTCTAGGAAATAATCATTTCTGTAGGGAGTTTGTTTTTCTCTTATTTCTACTGATAACCGATGTTTTACACTTTTCGGTCATATCAGGTATAAGTGTCCATAAAGCCATCTTTATTTTTTTATTGTTTTTTTGTTTTTTTCACAAACCAACATACTCCCTGTAAATGCCCCATACATGTAATAACTGCTTAATAACGCAGGCCAGAGCAGGACTTAAAATTTCAAACTTCATTTTGTATTCTGCTTGTATCTCTGACACTAATATTAGTTTGATCTGAAGCAGTTCAGTGCAATAAAGACAGAACGAATATTCCTTTAGGCAGTCATTATTTATTTACAATTTGGAGTGCATGAAGTTTCTACATGGGTGGACATATGCATCAGCTCTCATAAGGGAATAAGCAGCCTGTTATGGAAAGAGTTTGATTGGAAAGGGAAGATCAGATACTTTAATACTCCCTTTATTATTTCCTCATGTTAAAAAAAATCCTAGTGTAGTATTATGCTGGCGAAACCACACACATTTGTTGGGCTTGTCCAGTAATACAAGGTTTTTGGGAAAATATTAAAAAGGAAATAGAGGGAATATTGAAAGTAAATATGACTCCTGAACCTGTGGTATTTTTATTGGGAGTCAGCCATGTTTACTATGCACTAGATGATGTAAAACCACCAACTATAAGTGAATGGGTCCAGAGATTTAAGCATGTTTATACAATGGGGAGAATGACTGCAAGCCTGCAGCTAACTATGCACACTTTTGTACAAAGATGGAGTTGTATTTCAGAATACCTGGGTGTCTGATGGAGGGGATGATGGGATGAGAGTGGAATTCATCTATGGGAAAGGGTCCTGTTTGGTCACAGATTACAGGTTGTGGATGTCATCTGCTCTCATGATTGTGAAGATTTTTGGTATTTTGTGTTTGTCGTGATGTTTACTACTTGAGTTTGTGTCAGGAGATGCTATGTCAAATTACTTAAATGGTTAAATAAAAAGTTCTAAAAAAAAAAACATTTGGAGTACTGGTACATGCCTTTGGGTTAAAGCTCTTCAGGGAAAGTTTAGTGGTAAAGTATGGTTTCAGCTATCTAATGAAGCAGCTGTCTACTTCATTGATTGTATATATCAGAACCATGGTGGTGTTTATTGTTGAAGGGTTGCTTTTATACCGATTATAAATGAAGAACAAATAATATGATATTATTTTATAATTAAATGATTATGTATATTAGTCACAGTGGGGGGAAATGGATAGTCAGCCACTCATTGTAAGTTCTACTTAATGAGAGAGCTCTGTAATTTCTATCAAAGCTACTCTTAATCTATGAATGAAAAATAGGAGAAAAGTACAGGAAATCACATTGTTGGGTTTTCAAAGTATCCATTTGTAAAAAATGGTGGAAAATATGTGAGGTATGAAAACTGCGTGAAGCAGGTCCCCCTGTGTACAGTTTGCTCCATGCAGCTTAATCATCAGGCCCCTCTGTGTATTTCTGGTTCATAAAATCTGTGGCCCCAGATTGATGGAGATTATCAAGGGTCTTTATGTCTTCCAGTTGCCCTCACAGTTGATTTCTTCTCAACAAACACACTGCAAAACATTGAAATTTAAATAAGCATTTATTTATTAAAATGAGTTCCTTTTTTTCTTGAATTGAAGGGTAAGTGATACACTTTGCCAATGGAACAAGACAATTTACATTTAAAACAATTGCATTGTCTTATTTCAAGTGCATATTTTCTAATTAAGAGTAAAAAAATCTCATTCCATTGGCAAGTCATCTTATTTACCTACTCAGATTAAGGATGCATACACTTAATTTAAGACATTTTTACTTATTTCTAGATCATTATTGCAGTGGATGCTGCCTATTAGCTTCTTCCTGTTGTCCTTCAACAGCTCTGTTATTGGCTTTAGTTGTGTGTGGAGTGGAAATGTTTCAGGCTGTGAACAGGTGCTTTCAATACAGATAACGAGTTCAAACAGGTGCTTTTAATACAGACGAGCTCAAACAGGTGCTTTTGATACAGGTAATGAGTTGAAGAGGAGGAGCTTCTTAAAGAAAAAGCTACAGGTCTTTCAGGGGCAAACATCTTGCCTGTTTGTGGGCAACCAAATAACTATTTTTCACTATAATTCCCAAATAAATTCTTACCAATTTCCTGATATATATTTTTTTTCTCTCCTAGTTTGTTCCTATGATGAAATTAAACCTTTCTAAGTAGGAGTTCCAAAAAAAGTAAAGAAAGAACAATCCACTGGACTTTGTTTGCAAGTTTTAAGACGTTTCGCTTCCCATCCAGGAAGCTTTTTCAGTTCAAAATGTCAGATATAGCGTTGAGATCGAGGTTTTATACAGTAGCCAATCAAAAGTCTAAGTAGGAGAACTTACAAAAGCAGTGGCTGACTAATATTTTTTTTTTCCCCACACATTACTTTGATTGAAAACCAAACTGTTTATTTACCCTGCATTTAGAATTGTCCACCTTAAACGGATTTATATCAATACCAGCTGTCTTTGTTTCATACGTTTTTAAGGAAACATCTTTTAACATGTTTATAACATAAGCCAGACATGGTGGATTTCTTATTGTCACTTACTTCTGGCCTGATTTAAAGTAAAAAATCTGTACGTTACACCTTAGATTGGCCTTAGAAAATATAGAAAGAAAAGATTTTGAATCTTATTTTGGTGCAATTGAAGTTTTTACATGATTAATTTTTGTCTTTATTAAAGTTCTTGTGTTCTTACAAATGTATCAACTTTAATTTTGATCAAATATCGTTATTTTATGCTTATTGGATGTTTTTTTATTAGAGGGATAAAGCTGTAATTACTCAGCTTGTATTTTTCCATTCCAACTGAACCTTAGAGTGAAGGATGTGATCATGGTACATAGATTTGAAAGACAGATCTATACAAACAAATGATGCACTTAGTAAACCTAAATTATTTGGTCAAGATTAAATTATATGCCGGTATATACCATTAAATGAGGATTATTGCATTAGAGTCCATTTGGTCTTATATCTTTCTGGTTACATTTTATTGCATTTCTTTAAAGCTGCAACATTAAATCTTCAGACAATTTCCTTCATTTATTTTTTGTTATAGCTGTGTCTGTCGCTTCAAATACGTCAATTTAATTTCCGCTCTGAGGTCATACAGCCTGATCACATCTAAATTTAATAACAGCCCCTACATCAGACTGCAGTTGTATTAGGTCTGGACTCTTAAGATCCCTATTGTTTGATGTTTTCCCTCAGGAAAGAAGAAATCTTTCAGAATGAGCATCTCCAAAAGTCATAGCAGGGGGAAGGAAGACCCACTGATGCAGTATGTACTCAATCATTCACTGAGGGAGCATCCGGTTCTGAAAAACCTCCGTCTGGTGAGTATTGTAGGTCTGGTTCACTGCTTTGTGAGCTGTGTGGTTCCAGATATTAGGTTTAAGATGAATTTTTGGTTGCTGATTGTTTTAGAGGACGATGCAGGACACCTGGAACATCATGATGGTTGCCTGTGAGCAGGCGCAGTTCATGGCCAATCTGGCAAAACTAATTAAAGCCAAGAAGGCACTGGAAATTGGTAAGTATTAGGGGTGTCAATACTTTTCACATAGACTAATTTACATCCATGCAAAATTAAGAAATCAATCTACATCATCTTTAAGATATGTCATGGCCGCAGGAAGTGGGGGTGCTGCAGCACCCCCTAGTGGCTAGAGAGAGATAAACAATTGTACTAAAAATACTTTGCACAATTTATAAATTTCTTATGAATATTCTGGGACATTATTTGTAATTGTTATTTTATTTTTTTACTATAACGTGTATTTGGATTTTATCTTCATTATTCTGAGGCCTAATCAAATATTTAGCTTACTTGGTGCTAGCTAAATGTTTAGCTAGCTCCAAGCTAGCTATATATTTAATTAGTTAAATAAATATTAAATCTCTAGCCAAATATTTATTTAACAAACTAAATGTTTAGTTTGGAGCTAAATATTTCTTTAAAAAACTAAATATTTAATTTGCAGTCTATCTACTGTATTTAGCTCCAAACTAAATATTTAGCTCCACGATAAATATTTAGTTTGGAGCTAAATATTTATTTAACAAACTAAATATTTAGCTCCAAATTAAATATTTATTTAATAAACTAAATATTTAATTTGCAAACTAAATATTTAGCTCCAAACTAAATATTTATTTAACAAAGTAAGATTTTTATAAATGAATGAATGACATAGTGAAAAAAAGACTTTCGGGAAAAAAATTACTTCCTTATTTTATTAAATATTGCTCCTAAATTTTGACTGCTTAACTTTACAAACGGCATGCGATATTGAACTGTTCAATAATGCTTAAATAGTATAATAAAGTAATTATTTTCTTGTGGTTTGCGTAAAAGGATTTTAAAGCTAATAGTCATGTGTTGCATAAACACAGTGACTCAGGTTCATGCCAGCTGACCAAATGTACGTTGTTATAGTGTTATTGTGAGTAATAAATAGTAATGGTAAATAGTGCATATATATTCACAATGAGAACTGATGATGTCTGGTTGCGTTCACTGAAGTGTTTATGACAATGAAAGAAGTGAATCTCAATCTATTGTATTTCAAATTGACCTAAAGGCTCATAGGTGTTCTCTCTGAAAAACAAAAAGATTTCACAGCACCCCCTGTTCAAAATTACTTCCAGCAGCCCTTTGTTTTTTAATTTACAAGGCATGATGGCATTGATTTAAACTCCTGATGCCTTGAAGAGCTAAGAAATAAAAAAAAAAAATTTTTTTTTTT